CGAAAGCTAATAAAAAAGATGGAATTATAGAAAAGCAAGTGCCGAGTTACAAAAAACAGTTTTAAAAAAAGGCACGTGTAGCGCAGTTATTGGTGGCGCACTGTAATACATATGGGAACGAACCCGCGCCGCAGCCTCACCAAGCCTTCCATCTCTCCGGGGTCGCTAAATCGGTACCAGACTTGTCTAGGAAAACAAGAAACAAGACCACACTAAATATATGATTTAACGCAGGTTATTTTTTTAAAAAAAAGCAGAAGAAAGAGTACCTCTGAGAGCCGTCGAGAGAAGTCAGCATCATATGACCTGAGTCGAATGAGTGTACAAAGTTTGGCGGAGATGCTCCAATCTGAGCAAGTAATACTTTGTTCTAAACGCAAAAAGATGTGTAAGGAAGTCACATGGACGATTTGCATGAGCACAAACCTGATTTGTAGAAACAGTCGCGTACATGACGCGTCCTTTTTTTCTCTTTAATACCAATGATCGCTTGAACAACGGGATTTGCTAAACTCTAGTCTTTTAAAGTCTCGTGGCAGAAAAGTGTTCCTGGGTGTAGAGTTCCTGCCGGGCCGCGATGTAGAGCAGGAGAATCCATCCCCACAGCAAGGTCTCCCACGTTGAGGAGTCTGATTTTTTATCACGAAGAGTAGCTAAGAGTAAACCAATAGCGGGGTCAACAACCGTGCTGGCATCAAACTAGTCGCATGGTGGCAAATCTCAATCTGATCCACAAGGGATGCCACTAGCTGTGGTGGTTACGGCCTGAGGGGCAGAATTGGCTAGGCTGACGTTGCTACTCTAGGGAAACAATACCTAAATCAGCAAAACTCCGAAAAACGAAGATTATGCAGTGGCGCTCACAACCAGTAGGGACAGGCCTTCCAAGTACCCAAGTAAGTAGTGTTTAAACGTAATAATTGCGCGGTTTAAGCTATTATTTTATGTTTATCAGCGCGTAAAATCACTACCGAAGAAATAAAACCTCATCGCAGCGATCGTATACAGATTACTAGGCATGAGACTACCTAAAGTATCTGCTTCACGTCCTCTTCGTCTCCACCTAACGTAGCACAATGTTGGAGCCCGATGCAGTTTCAGCCCCGGTGCAGGACCAAATGACTAGAAACACACGGCTATATTGCGAAAGACACTACACACTCTGCGAACTAGGTACCTGTCACTACTGCATGTGAAAGCAGATATAAAGCGAAAAAATTGTGTTCACATGTCTCGAGGGACGAAATACTACCTAACACAATCCTCAACCCTTTCTGGAAAGGCTAGCGTACCACACAGTTCCACGCATGCATGCAAACAATGCTTTACGCCTTCAGATTGCAACCACCTCTTCCTTATAAAACGAAGTAGGATTGAAACCCAAAATAAACAAATTAACTGTTGAAAACAAACGTTCCTCTTACGCTCAGAGCTCGTTGGACAGGTATCTAAAGAAGCTTGACAAGAAAACTTCTGGGCAAACCGTCAGCAGAATGATTCGCTGAATCACTCATGTCCTCCACTAGCCTACCACGGTCTGTCACGCTGCCCTTTTTCATCTTTCCGATCAAATATATGCACTGCAATTTCGGCCAATCGAAAACTCAATCACCAAGACAATTCAAAAGACCGGCATTCAATAAACCTTGTCATAAATCGTTGGTATATTAATTTATATAATTTTATAAACTGATCTTGTTGAGCTGATGCGATGTTGCCATAAGTTTTCGTTGTCGCTGTTGTTTGTGTTGTTCGTAAATGGCTGACGTCTCGACGATTTCGCCTTCTTCATAGCCGTACTGTTATGAGTGGGTCCTACTAGTAAAAGCATGGCTCTGAAGAAGGCGAAATCGCCAAAACGTCAGCCATCGACCAATAACACTAACAACATCGACAGCGAAAACATACCAACCTCGCATCAGCTCAACAAATTTAGTTTGTAAGATCATATAAATAAATCAAACATTAAGAGTTTCGCCTAAAGAGTAGGCATATACAAACATCAAATGTTTTCGGCATTGCAAATTCTAAGCACTCATTTGATAGCAATCTACCATTGATATCCTACCGTATAAACCGCAAGAGCACACCATTGGCGAATTCCGTTCTACAGCGGTTGACATCGTCACCTATACGAGAACGATGTAGTACTAACGAACGAACCCGTCAGCCAAAGTCCATATTTCCATAGTCCAAAGAAGGAATTAACTCTTCCCTCTAAAGCGCCATGCCAATATGACAATAATTCATCCAGCACCACAAAGATTTCAACTTATTTCTGAAAGAAGAAACTAAAAGTAGATAGTGAGACTTGTAACTAAACAGTAACTAACGGTGTGCATTCTACACAATTAGCGCTCTAAGCTGTCGATATAAACTGAATAGGGGCAATTTTCTTTACAACGGCCTACTTTGGGCTACAGAACCCTTGTAATCAATCAAAAAGTTGTTCAACATAGACGGTGTAGTGGGCGCTGGTCTGAAATAGCTCTATTTTATGCGTAAAAATATAGAAAAACATTTTCAACTTCTATTTACTATCTATTATCTACCTATTACTATCTATTCCCTTCATGCAGAAAGCTGCCACATGAGGTACATTCACGATAATGCTGAGATATGAGCAGAACTTGGAGCCTCAGAATCGTTTCGAGATTCCGAGTATTACTGGTATCTCAGCATCTATATGATTGTAATTCTCACTCTACCCTGCCATGAGAAAAAGAATACGCAGTAAGTAAAGGTTAAAAAACGACGATACCAAACAAAATCTGGAGAATAGAGGAAAGTTGAAGAAGTCGGTGAAAACAGTTCTGATGTACACCAGATGTGCCATGGAGCTTCGATTTTACACAATGGAATCGTTTCCCTCTCATATTTGTGTACCCACTGACACCATCGTTCTTCTCGTTTTTGAAATTGTCAACAAAAGGATTAGTAAGTGGTATGTTCATTGGTGGACACTTACACGCCGTATTATAAACGGTTCTGGAAACTGGAAGTTCACCATTTGCTACGACCCATTATGAAAACAAACTGGAAAACTGCTTCATAGAAGCAGGTTGCGGTTCAGGAATAGCGTGTGCTATTACAGAAACGAACAAGAAGTTTAATTCGCACAGTAAGTAACAAACACGCTGAGCATATTGAGCTATAAACACGCAACAATAACCTTATCCTAAGCTAAAATGTGGAAATTATTTATATAAGGTGCTGGCTGTCGCAGTGAAGAAGGTAGGAACGTCGAAATCAAGAACTTATTATGAAGGTGTTACATCACTAATGGTGTGCGGCACCCTCTTCGAAAGCGTTAGTGGTTCACCGATGCCTTCCCGAAGTTGTGTATTTTGGAACTAGAAGTCGTGAATCCTAACAGGACTATGAAAGAAGTTTTAACATGGGAAAAAACCGATCAGAAATAATATGAATGGCCAAAACTAGCTTGTCTTGTACTTTACACATAGTCTGAAGATATGAACAGCCATGCTACGAACTTTTTATAAAACAGTTTATAAATTCATGTGGAGAAATAAGCGTATGGAATTGCCGAGAAATCCAGACAACCGCTCATGTACGGCTTCAAAGGACGCTAGTTAGTAAGACTTCTGGTACGCTGGTCTACAGCTATTACAGTTTCATTCACTTACAACGCGCTCTCACAAGCCGATTTTGACCTCCTGGAAGGAATCGTTTCATTTACACACAAAAATGTCCTTCGCTGCTAACATGTCTGGGATGAATAGATGGAAAAGACAACAGTTAATTTGGGTCCGAAAAATAACTTCAAGCATGTTGGTGGAATTTGGGATCAAAATTGCAGCATCGCAGTTGGATATGGGGCCTGACCAAATGATGGATGACGCAGATAAAACTTGGGAAACAGCTTGCTGGTTTGCAAACGAATACTCTTTTAAGCTTCCCAAAAACGATTCTTGCCTAATATTTAATGCAAAAGTGAACTCATCGGAGTAATAAACATGCACTATATGAACTATAAACTATGTACGACAAAGAACTCCACTAAGCCAGAAACGAAGAAAGGGATGGTGATTCCCACATTAGTAAAGTAACAACGAGCACTTCAAAATTGGAAGAAGAAAGTGTTCAACTATAAGAACCTGTTTTACGATGCTTACTGCTGTTCAAAATGTGCATTCTAAAATAGCCGCAATTCAGCGAATACCGAGAAGCTAGCTCGAAGACGCGTAATCCGTCATCTCCACAACGTTTCACCTGTTCCGGTTACGTAAATACTTCCGCATAACGGTCCTGCATTAAACGAAATATAATCAGGGACAATCAGAACATCTACGAACAAGACAATTCTGTGAGAATTCTCGCATATCTATCATTTTACATCCAAAATGAGAGACGTCTTCTACTTGCTGTTGGCATAATAGGACTTTGTGAAAGTAGTTGCAGTTCCTTCAAGTCAAGAGGACGGATTTTATGGACATCATCCAAAACGGTATCTATCCGATTTGCTTTCAATTCTAGTTTTGACAAGTAAATTTAAAAAAGAAAAACATACCGCTATTATCACATAATACATGACGACTTCTTCTGCAGGAAGGAAACGAACTACCCACTAGAAACTTAGTGGTTGTAAAGTAAAGTAAGGCATCAAGGCAGTAAGGCATTTTTGCATTCCAGAGAGCATTCCATTCCATTCCATTCCAGAGATTCCATTGCGCTCCCCAGATCAACCCCGCTGACGGGTGATTGCTGTGGCAAAAAGATCGATAGAAATAGCTGAGAGACGTGCGAAACAAAGGACCCGCATGGTGTGGTGGTGAACGCGTTACTCCCCGGAAAGGATAATAGCGCGTTCGTTCCCCACCATAGACACCTGCGGTCCAGAGTTTTGCCAATATCTCAGCAACGTTGTGGTTGTATTTCGCTTAGTAACCTGCCATGAAAATTATAGAAGGCAGAAAACAAAACGTTAAAAACTCGGAACCTCAGGTGAGCTTTGAATCAGCAATTACCCTTACCTGGATTCATAACATCGTGCTTTTTACACGTAGCACCATTTGTTCTAGTTGTGCAATGAGTGTTTTCACTTCGTTCCTTTCGGTGGTTTCCCTCTTAGCCTGGAATTCTAATCGCTTCAGTTCGCTGCGATGTGGAGCCACCTAGGAAATCGCGATAATAAGAGGTTAACTCTAAGGTAGTAGTACAAGCAAGACAACTCCTATTCCAGATTAACACATTGGGTACGATATTTACGTTTATGTGGCGGCAGCAAGATTCGCTACAAGCTGAGGCTAACACACCAGTTATGGCTGAAAAATGATGCGATACGCATAAGTAATTTAAGAGTTGTGCTGGCGCCATTGGATAAAAATACAATTCTCACTTTATGCAACATACCAGTGTACAGCAGCTGAGCTTTCGCCAATTTGACCAAAGGACCGCATGCTTGGGTAAGACAATTGACCTAAGCATAAAATGGTGCTTATGACACTACAGCAGAAGCAGAACTATAAACTGAACTTTATCGAACCCCAATCGGGGTTGTTCACATGTTTGTTCATTTGCATCAAAATATCACTCACTATACTTTCTGTGCCAAATGAAAGAATTCGGGGCATAAATTCGTCTTTTTACCATGACCTCTCCAATTGCCTGTGCATAAAGCACATCAGAAATCAACCCTTTTGAGGACACCTCTAGTTCTAAAATTTTCGTTCGTTCCAGTCCAAAACTTAAAACTTCTTTGGAAACACGCATACGCTTTGTTCCCGGGATAAAACTGAAGGCGAGTCCTGGTGTAACAAGCAGTGAACAAACAATAAGATAAATATAAGACAGCACTCTATAATCTGCCCACCTTCCAATCAGTGCCGACATTCTCCTCTAGTAAAATACGGATGGCTTCCAGTGCTAATTTCACTACCACAAATGGGCTCGCCAATGATCTTACTTCTATCAGCTGGCTTTTAGTCATACCTTTCCCAACCTGTTGAACTTCTTCCACAGCTGACTCGACATTAAAATATGCTATTTACGAATAATTATAGCTACAACCACAAAGATGCTAAAATATAAGCAAAACTCGGAACGCACACGAACTAGCGACTACACTTTTCGGAAGAGCACTTTTTACCCACTGGACCACCGTGGCCATCGGTTTGTCTTTCTCTCAGATAGCCTTTTATCTTAGCGGTGCTACAGCACTACATATTGCTTTAATAGGTCAGTGCAGCAAAAAAATTAAAAGCCGAAATACCAAAAATTCTTATGAGTAATATCAACGCTTGAAGATGGCGACATTCGGAACAATAAAGCCTTTGTATCTTGGAAAAGGAGGTAGCACAGTGGTAAGTGACGTAGTGGACCAGAAAGAAGGATGCTGGTTCGATTTCCTAATCTAATAATCTCCCCCAACAAAAGTGGGAACGTCTGAGCAAGGTTACCACCAAGACGGCAAGGATAATTGACTGGACCGGTATTCTACGCACAAAGAAGACGAAATACTCAAGCAGAACTCGAGGCTACTTGCGCAATGTGCGACTACATTTATGGATCTACAATGCGAGGAAAGGAAACGAAGTGAATATAATGCAAGACACGCTGCGATCCGCACAGTGGGTATTTCCTTAACGGTTTTCCGCCTCTCCATAGACGAAGAGGTGTTTCCAATTACCGAACTTGGATGAAATATCGCCGAAGTTCGGTATCCAGAAAGAACAATACAAGCAGAGACCTCTTAGTACCCCTCTCATTTGCAATACTCCATAATTCGCCGCGTGCTGTGCAAATTGGCAGCAATACAGAGTGATAGCGACAAATAACTATAATGTGTATAAAACACCTTTTTCCAGGCTTCTCAGCATCTGTAATAAACAGGTTATAGATTCGATTCTGCTCAGTCCGACAAGAGAACCAGAAAGAAACTGAACGCATTGGAGGCAATGCATACGGCAGCGATCGTGGTAATACAGAAGTTACGTGGAATCCCACCTGTTCGTTAACCCTTCGGACGGATTTATGAAGTGCACTAGTGCACTAATGACACGTTGACGATAAGTCGGTGGGCCAGGTATGAGATCGCACACTTTCGGCAGCGCAAAAGGTGGATCGCAATCGTTGCGGTCCATATCGATAGTCGCCGTAAGCTCTGATCGAACTTTAAAAAGACCAATCGTAATCTTTGTGGACTTCGAATTTAACCCGAGTTCCAATTTTCTTTTTTATTTCGCGGAATATAGCACTACTTCGAAAATCTAAATGGAAAATTTTGATAATTCACAATCCCATAGCAGTTAAGCGGAAGCCCATATGTTTTACCTGATAAAGCGGAGTATTGGACCAGTTAGCAAGCCAGTTCAGCACACTGAGCCGACGAGGAAGAAGCGCGATCGTGAAGACTGCCAACAGATGGGTTCATTGTAATCACCACGTGTAGATTTCTCATTACCTAAAATACAGCATTACTCATTGCATCATCCCATTTTAATAAACATTAAGATATGGCTCATTAAAATATACTGAAATAACCTGAAAAGTGAACCGTTCGTATAGCTTATCACGGCTGTCCAGCAACAATCATTGACGCTGGGCACCTTCTTTGGTTGGCGTCATGAGCCTTCTCGATTAAACCATGCACCTAAAGGAGAAAAATGCTTATTTGAATATTACAAGAAAAGAAATGAGAGGAACAAACAGAAACAGAAAACTAACAACATTACTCTTACAATGTACTAATTTAACCACCGACATGGATTAAGCAATAACAACTTCTTGGTATGAGAAAAGCCTTCTGAAGTATTCAAAGAAAAGAGAAAAAAAATTATTTCTCCATTAGCCAAAAAAGTGTTTCGTCTTTCAAGAAATCCAGTATCCTACATGTTTGACTCATCCAGATCTTTACGTTCAGGCAACCAGCACAACATAACCCTGAATGCATACTCTCGCCGAAATCAGCAGCGGTGTACTTCGAATGAGCTTGAACTTCGAATGAATGAGTTGTAGCAGCTCCACACTCATTTGCCGTTTTCACTACAAAAACATTCAAAAAGGTAAAAGCAAAAAAGAGGCAACTGAAATACACTCAATA